TCTTCTACGAAGCCAAAGAGAGCCACTCGGAGAGCCACGGAGAGCTGATCGAAGAGAATCCAAGGCCTCTAGGTATTACCACTGGAACCGCCATCCCTCAATTGTCAGTTGTACACCACCTTGAGATTTTAGGAGCTTTTGTGGGAGATTCATTGTCCCAGTAAGCTAGCTTCCAGTGAGGCAAAACTCTCACAAATCCAAGCCAATTCCCCAGCACCACGGCAATTCAGGAAGCAGGTTCCAGACCTCTCTACACTGGCTACCTTATTCAAATTACACTTAGATTGAATTTCTCAGGCCCCTAGCAAGGTCCCAAGAAGTCATCTTTGGTGGTTTCCAGATTACGTTGAGTCCAAGGCTTATTGCCCTGCTACAAGAGCCCAATTCCAGTATTTCCCAGTACAGGCCACACACTCTCTTCCTGTGTTTCAGACAACAAGAGGCACCATGTCTTTTCTATGGTTTCTACAGCGATGTGAGCGACCCTATGCACCTGGCTACTCCGAACGATTGTGGCACCACGCCTACCCTGGGCCCCAAGTCAAAAGTAGCTACACCGCCTGTGCCCGCCCCACACACCACGATGGAGCTGCACCAGCACCTAGCCTACTGCCACCAGTATCGGGACACACAGCCACCAGTGCCACCACCAGTGAATACAAATCCGTCTTTGACATTCTTGAGAAGACACGGCACCACCTGTGTCAACAGTGTCCCCACCAGACGCACAACTCACCCTTCGACATCCTTGAGAAGAGGCCGGCACCATGGCCTATGGTAGGACCAACACCAGCTGGGTGATGGGGAGATTTCAGAGCTGTCTCCCAACAGCTCAAGTTGTCACCCAGACCTCATCATAACCCAGCCATGGAAGACATGCTGATCCGCTTTCAACAGCAACAGTCACCGTTGCTCGACAACTCAACCTCATGAGAGCTTATCACGAATCATTCAAGCAAGACATGAGAGCTGACCACGAAACCTTCAAACGAAAGATGGAAGCCAGTTCATCGCCCTGAAGGACCAACTGACAGCTCAACTGGACGCCTGGTCATGGTAGCTGCTAGGCCAACCTGTCACAGCACCTACACCTTCTTTGACACCATCAGTTCATGGGGAGACCAATGCCACTCTCACTGCCAGCCATGGGCAGTGCTGAGCGTCACACAAGCCGACTGGTGACAGCGCTATTGGTACCCAACGGCTTCACAGCCCAAAGAAGCAGCAGCGCAACAGGGCTACTCGTTCCAAGCAAGAGGCCACTGCCATCACAGCAACGATGACTGATGCCCTCTTGGCCACCAACCAGCTGCCCACCAATGAGCCACGGCTCCATCTCCCAAGCTAGCTTGTGGGGATTTGCCTGTCACACGACCCCTGCGTGTCCCAGCTACGAGCCACCAGCTGCCCATGCCACACCCTTGAATGCCCTCGCTGGTGCCATCCATCGTTGGATGATGGGGAGATTATCGAGCTTGCAGCCCTAGTAGTCATCCAACACTCTGGGGAGATCATGATGCAAAACCCCCAGCCAGTAAGCAACTAGCTTCCAGAGCTGGTGCAACAACATTCCAGTTGCACAACCAAACAGACCAAGTTGGCTCCCACTCAGTCAGCTCTACAACAAGAGCACATGAGCAGACCCACACAGTGGTTGACCCCAAGCAACCTGCTCCAAGGCACAGAGCACACAAGGGTCCCACCACACCAACATTGGCAGGAGACTAGTGGTCCATCACCAGAGTGAGGCCCAAGGTTCCCAGACTTGTTCCACAGAACCACCAACCTATGGCACAGTCAATGCCACAAGACTCGTACCCAAAGAGTGCCGCTGTCTTTGGATAGGACCAGCCTTGGTCAACCATCACCAGTCCATTGCCAGGAGGCCCACCAAGCAGATACCCTCTGCTCTTGGTGGAATCCATGGGGAGCAACCACAGCAAGCACCTTTGACAAGACAGCTTTGGTGTCTCCTACCCAGGAGCCGACTGCCATGGTGTCGCCTTCCCAGAAGTGACCACCACCATGCTTTTACCCCAAAGCTGGCTGCATGGATTAGTGCATGGCAATGGACCATCCGGTGACGCCCCTGGATTTTCGGGCGGGCAACTAGACACGTCCCTGTCTTGGTACAGCCCATCCATCCCATCCGTCAAGGGACATGATTAGCGGGCAAGAAGGCCGCTCCACTGAGAGCTTGCCACCGCTGAATTCGGCCTGTGGCAAAGCCACGAATATTTGTCTACATATGAAGAAAACAAGCAACAGCTATGATAGCAACCAGCACGCCGACACCTACCCAGTCTGGTCATGCGATGAAGCACGCAATCCATTTGCGCCTACCTTTGGTCCAGCAACCGACCAACCATGCAAGCCCTCCACTTGTGAGATCTCCATCTCACCTTGTGTTCCACTAGCAGCCGATGCTGAGTGGCCCATGAATGTTCCGTTCATGGGGAGAGTATGTATTGTAGATTAGTTAGTAACTAATCGATATCGTGGCATTCCCATGAGAGCGGATCCATCGCACTCGTGGGGGGCGATAACTTTTAGGAGCGAGAGCTCTGGATTCCTCTGGATAGCTCCAACAGCTATGCTGGCCTACAACTCCAGCAAGCGCAGTTGGCTTACTCCCAGCAAAGCAGCAAGAAGGATCGTCCTTTCTACCATAGTTAAGAAAATAGTCGAAAGATTGAGACCGATCCTGATTAGCTGTTAGCCCCTTTGATACCGCAGCAGTTGATCCATATCCTGTTGAGGCCGGGCAGAAGAGTAGGAGGAGCAGATAGTACTGTTCCCAGACTGCCACTGCACGATTGAATAACGAAGGCTCCCAGCTCCTGAGGAGAGCTGGCCCAAAGGGTCCAGCAGAGAGCTCTGCTGGCCCTCCTGTCTGACTGACAGGACCAAGTCCTTGGTTTGGTGCCTACTGGAGGTGTTGGAACACTCCTGAGGCACGACAAGGCTCCCTGAACTGCCTGACTACCGCTGTCCCTGAGGAAGGGTTTCAGCGAGATCCAGTCCACTACTTCAGTACTGGAACTGATCCTTCAAGAAACTTATTGGATTAAATAAAGCCCTAGGAACCAAATCCATCGCTCTTTTTGTTGCCTCGGGCACGTCTTTCCAAGCCGCCACTTATTGTAAGAAAGGTGAACAAGCCAAAGAAGAATGGAACTCACTTAAAGACTCTGGCCCCAGCTACGGCCTCAATTACAAAGGAGAAGAATTTGGTAGCATCCCCTCACCTGGGAAACGCACCGACCTAGACCTTCTGTGTGAAGCAGTTGAAGACGGCAAACCCATGTTAGAAGTATCTATGATTCACCCAGCGTCATATGTCCGTAATTACAGAGGCCTGGCAAACCTCCAAGCCTTGTACACTAAATCCTATGAACATGAAACAGTCCGTGGAACCTACTACTGGGGTCCCCCCGGGACAGGTAAATCCTACACAGCCCGCAGCCTATGTCCTAAATCACTGTACATTAAATCCCAAAGCAAATGGTGGGATGGATATTCTGGTGAATCCCACGTCCTCTTAGATGACATGGACGGCAACTTTCTGGGTCACTATTTGAAGATCTGGGCTGACAAGTACGCCTGCACAGGTGAAATTAAAGGCGGTGTCGTGAAACTCTCCTATACAGCCTTCATTATAACAAGTAACTACTCCATCGACTACCTATGGAAGGACGATCCCGTAATGGCAGCAGCAATCAAACGTCGCTTCAAAGTAATACACATGACAGTTCCCTACATGTTCACTCCTCAACCCCCAGAATCTTCTCTAATATCCAAAGCCAATCACATTTTTGGGACCACCCCATTCAAACCTCTTCCCACCCGTACCTCCAACCCCAATCCCTGCATAGAAACCTGGCGGTTGCAACGCAACAAAAACCACCCGCCACAAGCTCCCTCAAGAGAAGTAATCACCTAATGCCCATTTTTCCAACGATGCCTCCTAAATCCACAGAACCCCGGAAAACAGGTGACAACCGAATGTCCTTCTCTCTACAAAGTGTTTACGACCTAGACCCCGATGAACGCAAGAAACTCCGAGAATCAAGAACAACTACTTAATTAACACTACCCTTTCCGTCCAAGACAACATTAACCCCGTCCCGTTCCACGTATTCAATGATAGTGTAGCCATAATTAGGGTTGAAAGACCGGCCCTTGATAAGAAGCCCCACGTTAGATCGCACACGCTCGTCACACTCAGCAACGTGATGACCAGGATCAACATGTCTATGTGTCTCCTCGCAGTAAGGACATCTCACAGCAACAGAACCCTTAAGTCTTAAAGTAACAGGAATCCCGTAGTAGTTCTGCATATACATCTCCATCTCCTCTACATCCATAGGAACGCTAGCAGTGCTAGTAGGACTTGGTGTATCCTCAACCACTATAGGAGCAGACGGGAGCTCACTGGCAGCTCTGCCATTGTCCTCCTTGCCCTCCTCCTTAATTTCAAAAGCATCTTCAACCTTCATAACAACACTCATCGCAAAAAAAAAATATGTGGATAGTCACCTCCAACATCATCAGCCTACCAGATTACATCACCATGGTAGAGTTCATGAAACGGAAGTTTGTAACTGAAGGATTCATTAGCTACAACCATGCACATGGTTCCCTAATCCTTTGCTGCCTAATCCACGAAGATGAGGAAGTAAACGTGCCCACTTGGTTTCCAATGTACGCCGTTCAACATCAAGATGACACTAACGCGGATCTAGACCAACCCCCATCAATTCAAGGTAGCATGCTAATAGCCATGACAAACTGTGACTTACTCCACACCAAGAACCTAAGGAACACAAGATCTAGACTAGCTGATCGCCTCGGGATAACCCTACCCCCCTCATCCGTAACTGTGGAGTAACCCCCCCCCTAGAAATTTATTTTCCAAAGCTAAAGACCTTCAAAGGAACTCATAAATTAATCCCAACTTGGAAACCTCCCCTCAAAGGAATAAAACCGACGATCCGACCATGGCCAACGTCTTAGATGTCATCAACGCCACCGGCGAAGAATGCATTGTCTGCGTAGAACGATTCCGCAATGGTGACAAGGCCGTCGTCTTTGACTGCGGCCACTTCATGTGTAACGATTGCCATGACAATCTGATTGCTGTACGTGCAACCTATGAAGACGACTACCTAGGAGACGAAGATGACGATGGGCGTATTGGAAGAGGGTGCCCCGTCTGTCGCTCGGACGACGAAGTAGCCCAGGTTCATCAAACCGTAGTGTACTACCGTGGAACACAGGACGACCCCGTGGTCATCGACGAGGATTAAAGTACTAGTAACCTCTAACCTAATAACAAATTGAATCCCGACTATCAATAGTGACTACGTGTAACATCTTAATCTTATTTCCAAGGTCAACCATCTTATCACGTTTCTTAAAACCAAGGCATCCGGAAGACTAGTACGTATGACAAATTGAATCCCGATTAGTGACTAACGCAAGCGTGCACCACAACATCACGCTTTCACGATCAAGTAGCACGATTTCCCCTTAAGTCTTCGCTACCCCGCGTAAGCATGACCCCCGGTCTGACGAACCAAAACCCTGACACTTGAAGTTGAATCCGAATCCAAAATCCACCAATCAGAAACACCACCGCTGGAGAGTAAGGATACTCCTGCAATTTCGTGAAGGATTTGATCAGAGCATGTCACATTCTTCAGAGCAGTTAAGTAAAGTTATTCTCCGAACAGTTCACTGTGGATTCACTAGGGAATGCTTCTGATTCAATAATCGCAAACCTTTCCCGGCCCTCTGCACTTCCAAACAAGGAGGAAAGGTAAGGGTAAGGGAGCAGAGATAAGTATTGTAACGGTAGCGATGTTTGGCACTTGGCACGAGTTCCAGTGGAATGATCAAGCACAATTAATAAAATTTGGAATGATTGACTGCGAGCTGACTGTACATCATAGCTTTTGTGGGTGTAACTTTTCCTCCACGACATGTTTAATTAAAGGTTGTGCCCTTGAAAGTCTCCCAAGATTTCCATCCACTTTTTACGAATAGAACCCGGCTACAGTACCGACCACCGGTACAGCACCATAAGATCTCTGGATCTTGCTGCGTGCTGACCTGATGTGACAGTAGTCTACGAAGAGATGCTTGTCGAGCAGCCGCACGCCAAAGAAGACAAACGATCCCGATCCCTATCCATCCACGCTGACCGGCGTGGAAACCTGAACCCTCATGGGTTCTTCGATGAATGACTCGACTCACAGTTGCCAGACTGGTACCATCTCACAAAATACGAATCTACTCCCACACTTCGCTCACACACAACAAGTACATCTCTACACTCCACAGGTCATCACCTGCGTTCCTGAAATGGATACCCCACATACATGTCGATTGCCACTGCCTTTTCGCAAGATCCACTCTAAGGCAATAGCACCCCACGAAGACCGCTCACAGATAGCAACCTTGAATGAACACAACACGCAAGACCGGTCCAACTCTCTCCTTCAGCCATTGAACAGTCGATCGCAAGAAGGTTGTCTCCTTCTCTGCTCACAATTCTTCCTTCAGCCGAGCTGCAAGCTAGAACTAGAATAGATTAACCTCTTGCGTCGGCATCAGGGTCTAAATCTCTTCGAAATCCTCGACCATGGCCAACGCTTTACTCTCTACTCTCGTCGACCGCGGCAACCACTGGGACGTTCATGAGTTTGACTACAACGCTCTTCTCAACCGTGTTGGTGCCAATGCTAACACTGACAGTCGGGCGTCGCAAGCCACACTGTGTGCTGCCGTCACTCGGTCACCCCTCCTCATCGCGTTTCGTACTTGACGGTGATGAAGACTACATCCACGTCGGACACTCCCTGTTCACCTACCCAGCTGACTTCGAACGTGTCTCTCCGTACGACAATCTTTCCGCCATCAAGATACGCCAAGGTCTTTCAACGAGTGTCGGCGACGCGCTGGAAGCTGTCGTTCGGAAGGATCACAGGAGCGATGGTGTGGAGGTCGTTTCCAGTGAGTACAAC